ACACACACACACACACACACACACACACACACACACACACACACACACACACACACACACACACACACACACACACACACACACACACATTCAACTGACCGACCAAATACTAATCCTCCCTTGTGCCATTCTGCAGGCGAGAAAAATGCAACAGAAAACTGCAACAAAAAGACGGACAGAGACAGAGACGATAGAGTGCAGTCGGCCAGTGCAGATTAACTGTGTCCAGCTTTGTATGAGCCGATTGAAAACGACAAAAGCAGGCGAGGGCGAGGGAGAAATGAACTAACAAAACAAAACTAGTAGACTGCACTGAAGGCAAAAACTGCTCTGGTCAGTAGTTGATTGAAAGTTAACTCATCACTCAGCACTGGGTGCCAGCTTGCACCAGTTTGGATGAGACAAAGATTAGGTGAAAAAAACGGGAATGAATAAAGAAGGAGAGAAGAGTACAAGTGTGGGCTCCTGGTTCATGAGAAAAAAACTACCAACAGAGGCAGTGGCGGCAGCAACACTTATTAGGCGATTACTGTGCATTTTCTGTAAAGATAAAAAAAGTAGGTGAAGGAAAAACGTACCGGAATTTGCCTCGCCGAGCAGTACCACAAGCGACAGCGTCGTGGCTACAAAGAACTTCATCTTCTTTTTTTCTTCTGACTTCCTTTTGGGCTTAAACTGAGAGTTTGCTGAAGCACAAAAAGTTTTGAATACTAACGGTGGTGGTACTAGGAAAGATGAAGACAAAAACAAAGACGAAATGTGACAAAAAGTGGAGATAAGATGAGAAGTGTGGAGAAGAACTGAACTGGAAAAATCTGTCGAGGAGCACCGAATGGGCACCTGTGAAACACTATCAATGCGCGATTGCCGACTGCCACTCTTTAAGCGGGACTGCTCTGAAGAAGATGAGAGAAATGGAAAGCCGCTTTTCGAAGACTTGCTTCTCTCCTAACTTTGCAGTGACGATGATGGCGGCTGCGGCGGTGGCTCTTCACTCGGTTTATCGGATTTCACTCCCACTGCTCAGTCAGTCCCGAGACTGAGGCTGCTGTGGCAGTACTCAAGTCAAACGAGTCTTTTTTCTGCATTTGGCTGCGGGTCAAGACGGGCGTTAGCCGATTGGCCGGCTAACTAGCCTATCGTCTTCTTCAGTCCGGACGATGACGCTGTCTTGCTCTTCTTCTTCTTCATCTTTGCACACAGGCACACTTGTTGGACAGCAACTTCTTCTTCTTCTTTGTCTTTGCCTGTGTTCCTGTGTGGCTTCTCTTTCTTTCTAGCTCTGAGCGCGCTTGTACACTCGACTCCGAGCTGCCACTTGTAGGTCAATAGTCACTGTAAAAGCAAGAGAGAGAGAGAGAGAGAGAGAGAGANAGAGAGAGAGAGAGAGAGAGAGAGAGAGAGAGAGAGAGAGAAAGCGACAGCAAGAGAAGTAAGTCAAAGTGGAACACTTGCACTGCTAGCTGACTTTCTTACCTGCAGAGATGATGGAAGATTAAGTGAAATTGAGAAGGCATTTTGGTGTTAGTGATGACAGGCGCTGATAGGAGAGAGCAGGGCGAGACACAATCACTGCGCCGTCAGGCTTTCACTCACTCACTCGCTCACTCAGTGGCCATTGGCCTGTTCACCTTCGAGCAGTAGTAGCAGCAGCAGCAGCAGCCAAACACCGTTCCATTTAGCTGCACTCATCTCACCTACACGAGGTGCTATTAATACCGAGAAGAAAGAGAGAGGGAACAGTGCTGCTTCAGTGACGATCCCGAACAATCACGCTTGCTGCCTGCGCCAACGAGAGAAAGGGCGAAGAGACTGTAAACTGAAGCTGTACAGTTCAGCTTTCGCCAGCATCTAATTTGATTTAAAGCAGTCCACCACCACTAC